CAAATATTCATTCTAAAGCTGAGGGTGGAGAGGGCAAAAGAATTTAACAGACCACTTCACTTGTGCTTCATCGACATCCAAAAAGCCTATGACTCTGTCAATCTGAATCTCCTAAGGCGTATTTGTAGACATTATGGAATAAGTGACAAACTTATGCGCATGCTAAAACTGCTTTATAAAAACACGAAAGTAAGGGTACGTATCAACGGCGAGCTATCAGATGGCTTTAATATCGAACCTGGTATAATGCAAGGTGGCATTCCTTCGTCAATACTTTTCAATATCTTTTTCGATTTCATGATGCGGCGAGTTCTCGAACAAACTGGTGATATTGGTGTGAAATTGGCCTATAGTAGTAATGATTTTTTCCATCCAAACCGGAATAAATACAAGGAACTCAACATCTCGACACTAATGTATGCCGATGACTTGGTGGTAATATGTCCCAACATTGCAGACCTTGGATGCTTCATCGAAACATTTGAAACTGTTACTCAAGCATAGAGTTTCTCAATGAATCTGAAGAAAACATGTATCAGTCACTTGCACAATTTAATGAAAACTCAGCAAGACGAATTATTAAGAATCAACAAGTTCACACAATACACGGTGATATACCAATTCGTCATCAAAAAATTGAAAATGTTGAAGAGTTTTCTTATCTAGGATACTGTGTCACAAATGATAATTCAATGGAAGAAGAAATTGAAACCCTAATTACAAAAGCATCAAGGGCTTTCAACATGCTAAAATACCCAATATGGTCCAGAAAAACAGTTTCTACCCAATCCAAGCTAAGGATATTTCGGGCCTGTGTCATGCCAGTTCTGTTGCATGGAAGTGAAGTGTGGACCATGACGATAGCACAAGAACGACACCTCACAACATTTTACCACAAATGTCTTCGTACAATTCTTGGTATTAATATCACTCACAGAGTGACCCATGATCAGCTGCTAAAACTAACTGAACAACCTTTTCTAACTGATGTTCTATGACGAAATCGACTTCGATGGTTTGGTCATGTCAATAGATTGAATACAAGTAATGGTGAACCATCAATAGTCAAAAAAGCCATGTTCAGCTACTATCCGTGTTTAAAGAGACCACGGAACATTGGTATAAAAAAAGGTGGCAAGATAACATTGCAGAAGATTTAGATAAATTGGAAATTAGGAACTGGAGACGATAAACACTAGACCGAAACCAATGGCGATGGATGATCAATAAGCATACACAATCAAAACCAACATCATCGGATATCCCCGATATAGTTCAAAAGCTCAAACAACAAACACTGTTACGAAAACAAATCACAAACACAACAACGATCAACGTGCAACCAAAAGTAACAGAAATCATATCTCGCAATATGAACGGATTTTATTCTTGCCCCAAGTTTAAGAAAACTTTCAAACCACAAGGAATAACCAATCACGTCACGTCATGTGCAAAATCTTGTTGCCAACAAAACAATATTGTATTGAAATAACAATAAGTCCCAGTCCGAAGAAGCTAAGTCTCATACATCTTGTGCATTATGATGGATATCATTGAAACCAAGTCTTAGTGATCTGGAGGTGCTAACCGGACAACGGCCCATTGTGTGAGATAATCGACGATCAAGCAGAACATTCACTGGATGGATATAACATGTATATACGGTGATACAAGAAGACCTTCTATTTCTTTTACTTTTACTTTTCGCATCTTTTTGTTGTATTGTGTTTGATTTTAACCCGTATCGAAAGATAAGGGTATTTAAATAAATAAAAATAAATTGCTCGTGGAAAATGACTAAAAAGAGACCAGTAAAGTATTTTTCAATTCTGTATACGATTTTCTCGCTTGATTGGTATTTGTTAATTCGCCTATGTAATCCTAGAAATAAAGTACACTATGCCATTTCGATGTATAGATTGTGTAAGTATCATTTAATTAAAGATACATGCAAAATAAATCCGTTTGTTAATACTCACAAAAGCATTGCCAAGAGAGTTATCACCGAAAAACTAATTCTAATTTTCAACGTATCAAAAGAACATAATACGCAGTTGTTATTTTTAACTAGACGAATGATTCATTTTCATCATTCATATTCTAATGTACAGACGATTCTTTTTTGTGTCAACATAAAAAAAATGATATTCGAAAGTATTTTTATGAGTAAGTAAATCAACATGTTAATTTTTGTAAGATCAAATTTCAATAGAAAACATTGGCTATTTTAGAATAAGGAATATATATGCTAAAAAACCGTTTAGTAGTTTTGATTAGAACATAACTCAACAAAAATTAAAAGCTTGATATAGAGTATTCTTTGAAATCAGTTAAATTCGAAATGAAAGAAACATCGATAAATAATTCTATACTCAAATAAATATAAATTTAAAGTTTCTTTGTTTTCTTTTTTCTTCGAATCTTTTAAATTCAATAAATTAAAATAAATAATACAAATCAGTGTTCATGTTTAGATTGTTTTCAATATCTCGATAATACTTCGATTGAATATTCCTGCATATATTTGTCTACAGTCGTTCATGTTCGTTCGTCTTTTTTTTCTTTTCTTTCACATGTTCATTTCTATCGTTTTCTTCATTACAGATGCTAAACTGAATCCATAAAACAAGCAAACTTGATCAATTGCTGAAAAGTAAAAGTTGAGATGAGCAGATTAATTCATCTTCTTTTTAAGAGATAGTGGGGGTCTGTTTTTCAATTCATTCATCCACATATCAACTCTCAATCGGCTTTTACTGAAAAAGCTGAACTGATTTATTGTTGTCTATGAAAGAAAAATAACTCAACTGATCTCAAGTATGTATAAGGTTGGAATACATCCTGCAAAGTATTGAAAAAGTAGTTTCTAGCCTCACTAGCAATACGATTCATTATAATTTTTCGAATATATATGAATTTATTCAATAACAGATTCATTTATCCAGAATACTAAAATAGTAGCAGTATCGACGATGAAAGATATATGAGCCTACGAGTCATTTCACGAAAGAAACGACCAAATAGCATAACAGGTACTCAATCGATATCTCACATTTTAATGAAGTTTTGCCAGTATGTAGTCCCAGGTGCGTTATAAAAACGCTAAAAATGTCAGCTTCTAAAGCCGTTCCTTTGTTGAGATATTCAATCCACAACAGAGGCACCCTCAGACAAAAAATGAGTATGACCAATGCAGTACCCATGCATTGTCTATTTCGTCACTTTTTAACAATAACGTTTTTGGGGCTAAAATCTTGTGGGTGTACATTGCCATAGATGCCCTACATACTAACACACCCAAAACCACTCTCAGTTGTATTCAACGATGCAGCGAAATTTCATAGGTTCTAGATACCCCCTTTGCCTTGTGACCAGGTTTTCTATTGCTTTTGAGCGATCTATGAGCTCGGGCTTTGGAACTAAGCACGAATGACCTGTAGCAATTAGGAGCGATTTTCAAAACCTTGACGTTTTGATTTTGATTCGAACAAACAAGAAGACCTTCCATCAAATAATGATTTTGATGAAGATCACAATTTTGGCAGTATTTGATCTATCGAAAAATGAATCCAACCGAAATCGGGCTCGTGCTGTTTTTAAGCACATACTGAGCACTACAAAGTTATGCAAGAATCGGTCTGAGATCTTACACAATGTTCCGAAAAATCTTATTGAAAGATATCAAAAAATGACCCCTTTTTCCTACAAAATATACCGACTTCATCTAGAAATTAATAGAACAGTTTCATCGTATGAAATAAATTCTGTCTAGTATAAATCAGCACATGATCATCTATTAACTTCCATAAAAAAGTCCTTCGGAAATGACAAAAAACAAACTTGGGAAAAACTCTCGTAAGGAGTACAGGGATTTCTTTTTCACCCGAAACCCTGGAGGGTTTAGGTGTAAGTGTTGATCATATCCCCACTCACACCGACATCCACATCCATCCACACCTTCTTCGCATTCATTCTAGCACAGAGGGCTGATTTTTCGTGAAACTTTCCTGCTAAATTCGAAAATAATGGTTTATGTGAATCCCATAACTCTTACTGTTTTTTTTCTGTTATATACATATAAAATGAACTGCTTATAATCACAAAAGTATGAATGAAATAAATTCTCTTTTACATAGAAGGCAATCATGTCTTGCCTATATATTATTTTCCAACGAAAGAACACTTACAGGAGAATGCATCATATTGAATTTTGTGAGATTTGATCATTCGACTGGAGTCGATGAATAGAGGAGTTATGGAATCATTAATACGCCTGATTGTTTGATTTCGAGGGTGTGGGTGTGGGTGTGGGTAATTTGGGCGTGAGTATGGTGGGTGTGGACCCAGATGTTCACTTCACTCATGTCCCCAACAACACCCGTACACACTCAGACTCACACTCTGTATCGACGCCAACAAGTAACGCTCGCATGCACATGAGCTGTACACTCCTACACACAGATTCAACCACAGTCACATCTACATCCACACTCACGCTCACACCCTAGTTAGTTTACACTTTTTTGATCAGTTTGTAGAATACACTTTTCTCCACAAAGTCACATACGGAATTGCATTGCAAGTTTGGTGCATAGTAAAAAACTGTCATCAATATGTTTCAGTTGCTAAGCATTTCTTGTCATTTTCTTGATATGAAATTGATGGCATCTCTGATAATGACTGCATAGCTATGAACAAAATATAATACTGATGTCAAAAACACTTTTCACCTTTGACTTTTTGTATCTGTCAGAAATGATGAAAATCTTGAAAGTTGAAACTATAATGTCACTTCATGTGAAAAGAAAACGTTTTAATCGATTATGTTGATCAAGAAAAAAGAAAGTTCTATTAAATGTTAAAAATTCATAGAATATATATACAAGCCTTGTTTATTGTTGAAAAATATACATATAAAATTATTTAATTAAGACTTATATAATATTCTTCTTGTAAGACCATTTATAAGTCAACTTAATTGTAAATTATTCATTGATATGTCACACCTTTGTTATTTTCCAATATTGTCCAGTATAAGCACCAGTTGTAGCAAGTATAAGTCGATTATTATTTATACCATCATTAACAATATCAAGAGATTTACCATCACCTTGCCATTGTGTTGTCAAGCGATAAAATCCATCGCCAATTGGAGTAATCTTCCAATATTGTCCACTATAAACACCAGTTGTAGCAAGTATAAGTTCATTATTATTTATACCATCATTAACAACATCAATAGATTTACCATCACCTTGCCATTGTGTTGTAAAACGATAATATGATTTTGGATCAAAACTTGGTTCTACAGCTGTAATATAGATAATAACAAGCAGAGACATATTTACTCTTAAGTGTGATTAAAGGGTGTGGGTGTGAGTGTTAGTGAGCGTGACAACAAAGCCTAAATCCACACGCACATGCCCACCCACTCCACATCCTGTTGGAAAATGTGCGTTACTTGTCTCAATGCTAATATAATGAAATCAAAGTAAATAGAAACTTCTGTTGTATGTCTAAGATTTTGATAGTCTTTCACTTGCTTCACACATCTTTGTCCTATTCTTTTGAGAGAAGTTTTTGTATTGTTGGTAGTAAAAACATGGTTTTTTGTGATCAACAATTCAATTTCATGCAGCTTTACTTAGGTGATATTGCAAGTACGAGAAAATAACTCTGATGATGATAATAAGATCTAGGACACAACTAGTGTCTGAAAAAAGATCTTCACGTTTCGTTTAGAGCGCACTCAAAAATGAAAATGGTTAGATAAAAATCGCACGGATCAATAAAAAAACTATTTGATCGCTTTTTTAATCAAGAAAGCAAATGCCAGCAAATGTAGAGAAGTGTAAAATCTGCATTTCTATAGAAAGACTTCAAAATAGTGATGGATATTAGATAGATCACTCTAATTTACTTTCTAAGTTTCATCGTACAAGCAAGGTACAGCTTACTTGTTGGAGGTAATGTACATCCTGTTCCACTACATCCATAGAAGAGTCGAACTTCTTGTAAGGTTCAGCTAATGCAAAATTCGAGTGGAGTTTGCTTTTGACATTTTCATACATATTCTGATTCATATTTTGACGCTGATCACGAATAACACATTCCCGACGTTCAAAACTCCCTTCTTCACGAAGAAAATCTGAAAATATCATGAAGGTCTCAAAAACCGAAAAAACCGACATATATCATAAACGTGATTTCTTTGAAGTTATATCGCAAGCTAAAGAATTCAAACTAAATGTTTCTGAATCAGCACTAAAAACTGATTTAGAAAATGGGTTTCAGTTCATT